TCTACGAGATCACCTGCGTGCGCTTCCTGTCGTTTATTTGCGTATGCTGCGGGATTTACCTGCGCCGAGGCGGGCTTATTGTAGCAGATCATTGGCTTATACTGTTTGAAAATGCGTTTCCCGTTTGAAGTGCCCACCATTTTAGTATATATTTTTTTTAATAATAATTACAGCTATTTTTGTATGTAAGTATGTTATGTGCTAATATTTTTTTTATATTTATTTTAGCCCGAAACTACCGTATTTGAAAGTTCAGTTACGCCTCTGAATGGCCCTTAACATGAAAGGTCTGTATTTATACCCTGTTTAGGTACAATGCCGTTGTGTATTTTCCCGGATTTATGTAGTTCAACATGAGAGTATTTATAAACCTACATACATACTGATAACAGTGTAGGTGAGCGTCGCCAATCATTGTATGTACTTGAGACAAATTGCGCTCTACCTAATATGTAATAGAAGAGTGGACACGTGAGGGGACCAATATAGTTCTCATTGAGCTATATATGTATCGGTAGGTATATGAGCATTTAGTTTCTACATATGATCACCATCACTGCCAAAGCCCCTATTTGGAAAATTTAAAATTTGAAATTGTACGGCTGCGGCAAGAAGTTTTTGAACTTTACAAACTACATATCTGGGAACAATATAGATAAATATTTAAAAGGACAATGATGATGAATATGTAGACTAGACCGCACCAACTTACAAGAAAACAAAAAAAAGTTCACCGCACATGACTGATTCTACATTGTGTAATTGCGCAACACAATTAAAAAAAAAATAATAGTTCTTTTTTGCCAGACCACTTAAAGACGCCATTCTGGCACCTACCCACCAGATTTCAGTTCTAATCACCCTAACGTACGACACTAATTTCAGTAAATTAAAGCTCACCAAAAATCTTTAAACCTTTTCTAAGCAAGTATTTCGATTATGACTGTGTTCAGAAATGCATCAAGCCAAGCATCAGTCTCTTTTATTTCAAAACTATAATTGATGGAAATTCCTTATTTACGCAACTAAGTTACAATTCGGGATTTAGCCGTGGTTGCGCATATTGGACATTTCCATTAATTAATGCTTAGAAATAAAGAGACTGATGCTTTGGCCTGATGCATTTCTGAACACACCCTATTCCGATAGAATTCGAATTTTTTTTTGTTGGCCGAAGGTATGTATGTGTGTACATTATGGTGGGCCTTACAAAATCAAATGAAAGTCGTCGTGTCACAAAGGGGTCAAAGGCCAGATGCCTCTAAGGACTCAAAAAATTAAAACTATTATTTTGTTTTTTTTTCATCTAAAACCCAAAATCGATACTATCAAAGTCGAAGATATCACATATAAATTTTAGACCCGATTGGAGTCGGTTAATACGTCTTCATAGGGTAATCTGAACTTTGACTCCTGTGCGACACGCCTTAACCGACTCCAATAGGGATCAAAAATTATATGTGATATCTTCGACTATAGTAGCACCGGAGTATGGGTTGAGGCTTGCTTGGAAATCTGATGTAAAGCTTTACTTCCTACATTTAAGGACCACTCCTATGTACATACATACATATGTAGGTGTCACCGAAAAATGGGAAAGCGCGACCTCTAGACCGACGGCCGCTGTGGTGTAGTGGGTGGCAGTGCGCGCTACCATTCCGCAGGGCCTGGGTTCGAGCCCAGTTTCCGACTAACTTCAAAAAATTAAAAAAACAAAAGTTTTTTCCAATAGTGGCAGCTTCTCGCCGTTCGAAGTCGGCGTAAAACTGTAGGCCCCGCCCCCCTTTGTGTGATAACATCAAGGCGCACGTCACAAAACGGATGAGAAGCTTGAGCTCGGGTTACTATGCTTGCGTATTCTGACGAACTTTTTTTCTGACGATTTCGCAGCAATAAAAAAATACGTGTTTGTTTGTTTGGTTTTTTTTTGTGCACAATAACCGTAGCCTTAGCTAAACACTAACATATTAGGAGTATTCGCTATGCAACTGCCAGTAAGAATTAGCCAGTAACAAAATTCAGAGAACAAGGTACCTTACTCTCCCAAAGAGAGGAACTTACCAAGTTTTGCGCGAACAGGAATTAGCAAACATTAGCAAGCTTCACTGCCAGCTGGCGTCCACGGTTGCATTTCGAGCATAAACGAATATTTATATTTATTGTTCATTTTTAAATTTAACGAACTCGTTGATTCTAAACTAAACAAAATTCTCGACTTTCTCGAAATTATAACTGTAAACAATGACGTGGGTATCAAGGCGCGAATGCGCTGACAGTAGAAACTTCGTCTTGTCTTCGTTGACCACCAGATTCAATCGCTTTGCTCCCTTATCCAACGTGAAAAATTCAGAACAGACTTCGCGGTATTTGTTACCGATGATGTCGATATCATCGGTAATCCCGAACAATTGCACGCTCTTGTAAAAAATGGTTCCTGAGCGGTTCAGTTGTGCAGCTCTTATTATCTTTTCCAACATCAGATTTAAAAAATCGCATGTCTGAAACCCCGTTTGGTAGAAAATGGCTCGGAGAGGTCTTTCCCAATTCTTACGGAGCTGGTGGTATTGCTCAACGACATTTTACGCAACCGCAACAGTTTCAGGGGATGCCAAATGCAGACATCTCGGCGTATAGGCAACTTATTTAGGGCTGTCGAAAACGGATTTGAAATAGACAAATAAATGGTAAGTGTCGATCCTTTTCTCCAGGGTCTTTTCTAAGATTTGGCTAAAGGTGAATACCTTTTCAGTTCTATGGGCTGAAGTCTTTAACACAATAAGCTCGATAAGATCTTGTAACCTATGCTTAGAAGGCTAATGCTGCGGTAGATAGCGCGAATGGCGGGGTCGCGTGTCTTGTGGATTGGGCAGAGGACCTTATCAGTTCCTCGCCGACGAATAGCTCGGCTGGCAGGCCGTCAGCTCCAGCAATTCCGTTATTTTTCATCCGCATAATCGCTATTCGTCATAGTCAGAACATCGACTCCATCGTCGTCGACTGTGGGCTCGGGCTCGTCTTCTCTAAAACTGTCTGTGCTGGCTTCCAAAACTCACAGTGGCAACTGGACCTAGCAAAGGGTACCCTTGGGTATTTGCACACTTATTTTGGTTTATTACATGAAAACGCGCGATTGAAATATTTCAACTCACATGTGTAGTTAAATGACAAGTTTTAATTTAGTAATAATATTTAAATTTCCGGAGCACTAGTTTATTAATAATGTGGCTTCCAAAATTCACAGTGGCAACTGATTTAAAACTTTAAACTGATTAAAACCGATTTGAAATTTCCGCGCACTAATTTATTAACAACTTTAATCAGAAATACTCTTTTATGTGAAACACACTTTTATGTGTAAAACACGCAAATTAAATGGCGGGAGTTGAGCTGTCAAAATAACTTCCTTAGCTGTAGCTTAACTTAGCTGTCAAAATAATTTTCTGCTCCTGAATTTTCGGGGAAAATGCTGCTCCTTGGCAGTTTCGAATAGGAGGATTTTATTCCCGAGAAAAGTAAAATCCGCGAGAAATGAAATCCTCGGGAATATTCAGAAATGGGCTGATTTTGACAGTTCACACCGCACAAGTAAAATCAAAATACATGTAAATTTTTGTTTTTGTATATTAATTCGCCTTGGTAAAAATTTTCCAGTAAAAAATTTGCAGCTTTCCCTCCCAAAAAACTGACATTTGCTCTCTCTCAATTTCCTCTACTTTTGAAAATCATTTGCTACATGAGAACGTATATTGACACGCTCTAACCGCAACAGTTCGGAACAATTATTTGAAATAGAACACTTAAAATTTTCTTTTAAACTTTCCAACACTGTTTTCGCGCGATCAGCTGACCAGCCGAAACAAAGCAAAAAATGAAACAAAACAAATTCACCGGTAATTGCAATTTTTACAACTGTCGATACAAAGTGAAGTTGACCGGCATTTGTAAATTGTTTATATGAATTCTAAGGAATTTTCAAACCACCAATGGAACACGGCATTACAAAGTATCAATTTTAAATTGGATAGTAGGTAACGTATTCAAACCGCAAACAACTACCTTGGGGAGAAAACTGCGGCATACCTAGTACCATTGCGATATAAATTCTTGCCAGACAACCTTCCGGCAAAGTAAGGCCACAAACACGTATCACGTATTATGTTTAAGACAACTTGCTTTGATATATGGCGTCAAGAGAAAGAAATGCCCCGGCTTATCACACT